GTTTCGAAATTGCCGTAAAAAATGAGAAACGTTGCTTGTTACGTTCTCCCCTCTCTTCTTCGTATCGCATCTGCGTCTCGTTATCGCTGCGTCTCTTCGATTCTTAGAAACGCCCCGTTGAAAAACCTGAACCGCTGCAAAGAATACGCAAAGATATCGAGACGCTTCGGAAGAATGTCGGTGGTTGATTACCAATAAACGAGAAGAAAGGGCTCGTTTCACGGCAATTAACGCGCCAAGGGGTGGATTTTCTTGGGCCGGCTTCCGGAAAAACCGCGGCAGACCGTCGGCGGCGCTCGTTTCCCCGACGAAACGCTACGTGGACGGTAATTACGCTCGGGCAGGAATGATGAATTGTTCGAAATATTTTGTGGAACATCATCGGGGACGAGCGTCGTTAATTCATTCCTGGACACGGAGGCCAGCAGATAAATGCGTACAGGCCGACGGTGGCGTTCGAGCGTTATAAATGACGTCCGTATTCATAATTTTCGAAACGCCACCGCCCAGTGACAGGCCTACGGATTATCTATCGGCTGGACGAGGCTAGTATCGCACACACCCTCCCCCCTCGATACCCCTGCCTTTCTGATAACCACCCTAACTCTCTGATGAGCTTTCCATCGTCTAACTTTTCGTTGACGCCTGCCATTCTTCGTACGATTCTACCACGTTTCTACGAACCGATCGCGATCAACGCCATCGAGAATAGAGTTCGAAAGTTGAATTTTTATAGAAACAGAGATTTCGAAGGTTATGGTCGAAGTTTCGCGCGTCACTCTGCGAGTAGTATCGGAAAAGCAAAAACGGCCGAAGCTAGGTGAAAGCAGGGCAATTAGAATTTGCAACACGACTCCTCGCGGTCTGGCTATGTTTTTGCGTGGCAACGAAGGCACTCCATTCACAGCTGTCGGCAATGCGTTTTTCTCCGCTGAATATTTCGCCGGCACGCAACGGCATTCGCGTTTCTATCGTTCGACGATGACCACCGACGAATTTAGCCGAGAACCAGTTCGCTTTACCAGTAGCAATTTGCCCGACCAACGAAAGATTCGATAGCCCGCGAAAGCTACGAACGTACGCAGCCGCTGGCGAGTTCGCAACGACGTTTTAACAGATGGTGCAACGGGAACGTTGAACGTTCGCGAGATAATATTCATACACCTTGCACGCCTCTCGCTTCATCAACTTGCCGATTCATCTAATCGTCGTTCCACTCGCAAGATTACAACGTCTGCTAAAAAACCGAAGGAGAAATGGTAACGAACGAATCTCGGCGTAGAACAGCCATCTGCTAAAGGAACCTAACTACCGAAAGCATCCTAATGTCTGGCTTCTGTGGATCGTGCCAGAACACCCTGGAAATTCCACGTCGAACCGTCGTCACCCACGACTAGCGTCGTACGCGTTCGAAAAACTCGTTCACCTCGAAGAGATGCTGTCTAATCAGTGGCCATCCACCGAGACAGCGAAGGAACGGGAAAGACTGCGTTAATCAGCGTCGAGGAAATTCGAAACGGATCAACTTGGCCGGAGCTCGGTCGAGAGACGCGGGTAATTGGTCTCGCGCTGCAAAGCGAACGAAAAAGATCTCGCAGGGGGCGATAGAAGGGAGAAAAGGAAGACGGAGGAAATATCGTGACCGATATAGAGAAGGAGAAGAGCGTAGAGAAAGGGGAGACAGAGGCGAGCGGTTTGTCGTTATTATTCGCAAAAAGCGCGAGTGGATGAGGTTGGTCAGGAAGCTGGGTGTGCCAGGGCGAACCTAACAAGGGCAGTTTTTAGACCGACTTGAATGCATTATGGATGGCCGACGTTATGTATGACTCTATCATGCTCCTCGGAGCTCGAGAACTACCGAGTACACCTCCCTGTGTCCATCCCCTGTCTTCAGCGTTGGGCTACACGGTGCTAACGACACTACCCGAGAGATGTACTTCTCTTCCACACGTACGCGTTCGCGTTCTTTCCTCGAGATCTTTCTACCAGCCTTTAACGACCTTCGAGATTTCTTTCTCGGAAACGACGCGCGTTTCCCACTACCGTACCGTTTGTAATTTCGTTGACGAAAACTACGGAACTCCGCCTCCCTCGAGTCCTCGTTTTGCATGATTTCTCGATTTTTGCATAGACCGTCGAGATTCGGATAAAGGGACAACCAATGACAGTCTAGTATACGTATCCTTTTTATTTATATATTTTATTTTATAGGTTCGTGGAAGATTTTTTAAATAAACGTTTATTGGGGGGGG